GTGTGTGTGTGTGTGTGAGGTGTGTGTGTGAGGGGTGTGTGTGTGTGTGTGTGAGGTGTGTGTGTGTGTGTGTGTGTGTGAGGTGTGTGTGTGAGGTGTGTGCACCCGCAAGTTGGGGCCGTGCAGAGGGTCTCATGGACTTTTAATTCGCTCAGTTACCTTCATCCCTGCTGTGAGAGATTTAGCCTTGAGTAAAATCCCCTAAAGCAGCGGCCCCGGTTAGCACCCCAGGCCAGCAGAAAGTTGAACTGCCCCCCCGGGGAGCCAGGTTCAGAGTGTGTTATAGGGTTCACGCACAGGCCGGCACCCGGGTGCGAATTCAGGCCGGGTGGTGCGGAAAGAGCTTGAGAAGGAGCCGGGTGAGCATCGTTCGTGCCCCTCCCGCCCAGCTCCGAAGGCACACGGGCCACCGGCCTCCACACGCTCCCGCTTAAGGACGCAGCCCTCAAGCCTCTTTACAGCTGCACCTGTCGTAGATGTAATTACATGTATATCAGGGGGCCCACCGAGTTCCTGCTGTTCAAGCCCATTGCTAGATATGGCACCCCCTGACAGTTAGCAGACACTTTGGGGAGACACGCAGACAAGACAGTGGTTTTTGTCTCCATGCTGTCAGCTGTATTGGCCCTGCTGTTCGCCCCATGTCTTAATTGCTTCATAAGCAAGTGCCTTTAAATTGTCGTAGACATCTACTGTCCTATTTGTTAATGACACCTGAGAATATTTGGTGGGAGCATGGCTCTAGATCAGCTTTATATTCCATTGTTTGTTTCTAGTCCATTAGCGTGAACCCCTCTTGAAAGATTGGCATCCTTAGGGTCTTGGCAAAATAAATCCACAATTGTGGATCAAGCATGTCACGTAAAGATTTATTTTAATCACCAATCAGTATAATTGTGAGCACATCACCCAAGTAGAGTAAAATGAGGATGAAAGATACCTGTTAACACGGACATAAGTCAGCTAAGATTTGCAGCTTTAGTGGGACTGCTGTTGGCAGTGTTCTCTGAACAAGCTTGTGGGCTTTATTTGCCCAGTAATAAGTTACAAGCTGTTTCTGTCTTCTCAGCATGGATCCAAGTCTGAATGTCATTCAGAGGCCACACTGAATTTTTACGTAGAGCGGATCCCAGTTTCAAGGGATGTAAAGAGACCTGTGTCTCCATCCCGCCTCCTTTCCCCTTGGTGGTGACTCCCTGATGTGTGACATAGGGGGCGAGTTAACGCCTGTCGTCCACTAGGGGTGCCGTTGAGCTCGCACCCACTCCGCAGCAGTTCCTGATTTTATGCAGAATAAGTGTCTGCACTTTGGGCTTCCTAATATTTATTTCAACTCTGAATAATTTGGGTGCCTTTTGTGTTTCGGGCACTATAACAAGATAGTTTCATAGACCGTTCTCATCCGGTGTCGTGTCGCCCGTTGCAGGACTTTGCTGCGTACTTGGCCTTCTGCGGCATCGTCCTTCACAACGCCCAGCTCTACGAGACCTCGCTGCTGGAGAACAGGAGAAACCAGGCACGCCGGTTTAAAAATTTAAAAATTCCATGAAATTTTTATCCAATACACTTGCATGATTTTTATCCAATAGATGTGTACGATTGAAAATCCAAGTAGACAGATTTCATTTCTAAATACGTTAGCTGTTTCTCCTAAGAGTTATTTCCATTTCCTACTTCCCATGCTTGGTAACTGTTAGACTCATTCACGGACTTACCGGGAGGATTTATGTGCCTCACGCCACCCGTTGCCTGCACGACCCTTAGCCTACCAGTATCATTATGCCACTGTTTGGAGTTATTGGATGGGTTGCATTTGGAATGTTAAACAGGGCTTCCAGTTCTTGCTCTGTCAATGAGAGACATCATCTTTTGACTCCATGCTTCCTAAGCAAGGACTCAGCATTTCTCATCTCTCCTTCCCCACCACCACTTCCTTACCTCTGCTTTCTCATCCAGACTTTTTCTTTTATGTTGGCCACGTGGACAGCATATACATTGTCTACAACCATGATGAACTTTTCTTACCTTTTATCTAGGTTAATTCTAAACTTGCAATTTCAAATAAGGTGTTTATAAGTATCATGACTGTGTGAATGTTCATATTAGTTTTTCTGGATGTTTCTGAATTCCATTCATTTTTTCCTTGAACTGTTTACTCTGGTGTCATCTCATGCTGTTGGTCCCCCCCACCCCAAGACTGCATTATTTAAGCATTCTGTTGAGTTCTTTCTCTAGGANTCTGAATTCCATTCATTTTTTCCTTGAACTGTTTGCTCTGGTGTCATCTCATGCTGTTGGTCCCCCCTCACCCCAAGACTGCATTATTTAAGCATTCTGTTGAGTTCTTTCTCTAGGAGATCTCCAAATTGATGTTCTCAGTCTTGCCTCTTCCAAGCCAAACTATTTCACCCCATGGCTGCTGCACAGGTGTCAGCGTAGAACTTTCCTTCACTGCTTTCTTAGAAGGGCTCCTCTGCTATCCACTGGATCCCACAATTCCTCTCCCAGTTCATTTCCTTGTTTTATTGCAGCACATTATTAATTAACTCCTTGAGGAAGGGCAGTGGTGAGGCAAGCTCTCTGAGTCCTTACATGTATGAAAATGTCTATTGTACCATCCTGCCAGTTTGGCTGGGTATAAAATTCTCAAATAAAAATTTAGTTTCTCAGATTTAAAGGTAGTGCTTTGTCTTCTAACTAGTATCCATGTTGTTCTGATTCTTGGCACTCTCTACATTTTTTTTTAATATCTGTAAGCTTTTTGGATTATTTCTTTATCTTTGCTTTGGTAACTTAATTTCATAGTATGACTTTTTTTTTCTCTTTTAATTCATGATGCTGATACCTGATCATCCCTTTCAGTCTGGAGATTATGCCCTTCAGTTTTATGTGATTCTTTTTCATTATTTCTTTGATAATTCACCTCCCCTACTCTCTATTTTTTTCTTTTTTACACTTGTGTCAATAAGATATTGGACCTTCCATTGCTTTCAGCTGCAGTGTCTCCCTAGCTGTTCCCATGCTCTGTTCTTGTCATCCATTCATCCCGTCCCCATTTTTACGAACACAGCTGTGATCTTGTCACTTCCTTCCTACAATCTGTCACCATACAAACTGCTTCAAGAGACATACAGGGTTTTGTGGTTCTTTGTCTGCTCACTCTGCAACCTCATCTCCCCAGCTGTCCACTTTATACTCCATATACACATGAAACTTGCTCAAAGTTTGTAGTGTGCTACTTTCTCTCAATTCAGTTCTTTTTGACGGAAATATTTCTCTTCCCTACTTCACCTGAATGATCCCTACTCATCTTTCAGTCCTCAGCTAGGATAGTATCACCCCCAGTAAATTTTCTGTAATAACCTTCCTACCCTCTCATCACACAAATTGTTTGTGACATTAGAAGGAAAGAGAAATGACCAGGAAAAGTCACAAAAGAAGTCTTAATGCTTTGTTTACTTTGGACAATATTTACTGTGCTCTGTGAAAATGTCGATAAATGTTAATAATCACTTACTCTTTATTAACAGTGTGTTTTATATATCAGATACTGTTCAAAATGCCTTGTGAATGTTAACTTATTTAGTTCTTACAACATTCCTATGATTTTGGTACTACCATTATCCCCATCTTCAAGAAATTTGCCCTAGATCACAAAGCTTGCAGGAAGGGAAGACAGGATTAAAGTCTGATGACCCTGGATTCAGAGCTATGATTGAACCACTGTACTGACTATAAGAACAATTGCTAGTAAGCAGGGACATATTTATATTTAAATGCAAACTTGGTCATAACTAGTTGGATTAAATATATATAAACAACTTATAACCCATATATACCATTATATTGCTTTAATGATCACAAGCAATTACTGAATATTAAGCTCCTGATTTTTTATCCAGGTGCTGCTCGACCTTGCCAGCTTAATTTTTGAAGAGCAGCAGTCACTGGAAGTAATTCTAAAGAAGATAGCCGCCACCATTCTCTCTTTCATGCAGGTGCAGAAGTGCACCATTTTCATAGTGGACGAAGACTGCTCCGTGAGTACAGAGTATGGCGTTTTTAGTTTTAGAGAGACAGAAACTCAGGTTTCTTGGAGCATGGCTTTTAAACCCCATGCTAGCCTCGAACCCTCTCAAACCCGGTGTGGTTGTCATGCAGAGCCGATGGAAGTATGAGCTGTCCTGGCTGAAGACGGTAGCGGTGGGGTCGCCAGGTGCCTTAGGTGTCCCTCCTCTAAGTGGTCACCAGGGGCGGGTCCTGCGCTGCTGTGGTCAGCAGCTCCATGGCCGTGATGGAGAAATGCACTGTTGTTACAGTGCTGACCTCCCATGGTCAGGAATAGCAGTGTCCTGGCTCCTGGGAACAGGTGGACCCCTATTCTGAATGGGTCGGGTATCAAATATTCTTTTACTAGAAATCATTTAAAAACCAAAAGGCGCGGCCCAATAAAGTAATGTTTATTAAAGCTGCCAGTGAGTCCCCAGCCCTTTACCAGCAATGGGAAACCACTCAGCTGTTCTGACTGGTAGGTTTCCGTCCACTGATTTGCAGGGTAAAGAAATGGGTGTGTGCGGAAGACTGTTCTCGTAGAGTGCTGGTTACTTCTGGGCGGGCCTGCTGAGTCTGAACCGGGCCCCTAGCCGAGGGCGGTTTTCCTTCATGCAGTTTCTTTCCCTTCTTAACCTATGGGAGATTTCTTTTTGACGTAGTTTGTTATTTTACTTTTCCTTTAGACCCTGAGAATAGGCTCCTTATTGGTGGGTTAATGGGAAAGAGAGTGGGGGTTACCACTTGTGNGCATTTTACTTTTCCTTTAGTCCCTGAGAATAGGCTCCTTATTGGTGGGTTAATGGGAAAGAGAGTGGGGGTTACCACTTGTGTCGGTCAGCTACAAATCATATGTGATATCTGAGTTAATGTTTGGGGCAGAAGCAGAATAAAAGATATTTAATACCTGGCTTATATTAAAAAATGTTTAATTGTTTTAGATATTAAGACTGTCCTGTATGACCCAACATTATCTGAATCACTGTGTATGTGTGCGCGTGTGTGTGGATGTGAGATTCTTATTAGTAGGATATCAATTAGGAACTCACTATGCTGTGCGATAATCAGTATTCTCATAGATACTACTTCATATGTTCAATCAGTTATAAAATCTTTAATGTCGAGATGATTACAAGGCAGTAGCTATCCTTAAAGTTCAGGTCAGAACTCATTAATGCAGCATGTCAACTTACCATGTTTCCCCTGGGACCTGCTCTTTAGCATTTAATTTTTGAAAGTTATACATAAGGCTCTCCTCTTTAAACAACTTAAATGTCACTTTAATTAGCGTTCAGTTCATGCTTCACCGGTTAACCCATCGCGACAGCGTGTGATTTGGCTCAGCAGTGCTTTGAAGCAAAGCCCAGCAAAACGCCCATTAGCACACTTAACACTTTGCTCACTTTTAACAATGTCAGTTGTTGGGTTTAGAAAAGGAATTAAGTGACTTGACTTATATTGCAATTATTTACTGATTAAAAGCATTTCAACAGCGTGAGCCAAAATCAAAATGTAAGCAATACAAAAAAAGTGCTCCGCTCTTCTGTCCCCACGCTAAACGAATGTCATTGTTTTGTTTCTCTCTTTCCTTCCAGTTTATTCCGGTGTAAGTATAGCTTGGTTACAAATATGTACTCTGCTTTTTAGTCACCTCAAGGGTCTTTCTTTATGTTAAAATTTTCATGATTATTTTAATGATCTCCTGAAATATGACTGACTGGTATGTCTTTCTATAAAGACGTTCTTCACCTGGGATCTGACACCAGCAGGCAGCGTGTGCATAAAAGCAAAAACTGCAGGATTTTGAATAAATATAGAGAAATTTGGAAGCTAACATATTTATTAACACCTGGTAGAAAAAAAGAGTACTCAAATAAGCATTCTTGCAAGCGGAGATCTGAAACTATAGGAACGTGGCTTTTACTAACCCGATGTCATGAAGCAAGTGCTTGGTCCAGTTCCCTCTGGACCGAGAGTAAAAAAAAAGTCACAACTACCAGCGCGCCGGTCACGCCTCAGACGTGTGTCCGTGTGTGGGTAGTTGCTCTGGCCTCGTCAGACTCACTGCCGGTCACGTTGTCTCTCTGTCCTCAGGACTCCTTCTCCAGCGTGTTTCACATGGAGTGCGAGGAACTGGCACAGTCGCCCGACACCGTAACAAGGTAAAAGAACTCTCAATTCACAAGCACGTAAAACCAGCTGCAGAGTTGTTGCGTGGCCTATTTAATTTAAGACATAAAAGCTAATGGCTCTTGTCTCCCCACAGATAGTTTAGTGTGTGAAAATACTTTACTGTTTTGATGTTATAAAGTCCCAGGGTTGGGGTTTTGTTTTGTTTTGTTTTTACTACAATTGAGAATTTTTTCGTAGGGTGAATGGTCACAGTTAGCATAGCCTGAGGCATGGTATTTTTTGTGAGCTCATTCAAGGCCGGTGTGTGCTAGATTTCAGTTCTCTTTTTCATGGCATATTGGAGCCTCACTGGGATCTGACGGCTTCTGCACATACTTTCTGCGGGCCTGTTCTGATCTGGCATCAGCCGTGGGGATTTAATACCAGCAGGGAGCCGGTGGTCCCGTCGCCTCAGTGCACGGACCCTGGGGCTGCAGTCAGATCAGATCTCCATTGGAGCCCATTTGTTTTTCATGTTTTTATCATTTTAAAATTTGTATTCATTTTTAAATTATCACTCAGAAAACATAAGAAGTGTTTATATAATGGAGGTTGTAGATGTTATTGCCCCAATTTTACATGTGCTTTCTGAAGAATCTTAAAAGGGATTTAGAGTAAACTACCAAATGTTCTCTCACATCCCCCGCCTCACCCTTAGCAGAAGCTGGTGTCGTCGGCTCAGCAGGGGCTTTTCTGAGCGTGTAATCTGCCAGGAGGAAGCCACGGGACTCCCCGGGTGTAATGCTGCTTGTCGCACTATCCAGTGTGCATTTCTTTCCAATTATTTCCCTGCTAATTATTCATATTATACCTTGGAGCCTCATATGGCCATGGAAATAGAACATTATCTTAGCTTTACTATTTTTTTTTTAAATATATCTTTATTGATTTCAGAGAGAGGAAGGGAAAGGGAGAGAGAGAGACAGAAACATCAATGATGAGAGAGTCATGATCGAGCCCGCAACCCGGGCCTGTGCCCTGACCGGGAATCAAACCCCGATTGTCTGGATCCCAGGTCGACGCTCAACCGCTGAGCCACGACCGGCCGGGCAGCTTTACTATTTGACATTACAGTTCCAGATTCTTCTCACAACAGTGCCCCTGGCAGAGAATTATTTCACGTAGTAAATGAGGTACAGTGCTCCGTCCCTGAGCACCTCGCTGGCCATGCGTTAAAATCCATCTCTGTGCAAATCTAGGGCGTGCAACACTCTGTATGACAACTGGCCGGGTCCCTTCAGGGAGCCAGCGTGACTGAGGGGACCGGGGGAGGGACTGTTCACAGCGCCAGGAGCTATACAGCAACCTTGACTAGGTCCCAGTTAAAACAAAACAGAACAGCTCTCAGAGACATTTTGGAGGACTGTTGGAAATTTAAATGTGGACTGGTGGCGATGGGCAATTGTGCTGAGTAGGAGAACGTTCTTATTTTTAGGATATTCATGCTGAAGTGTTAGGATGTCTGCACCTAACTTCAAAATGGTTCTGCTGAAGATAAATAAGTAAACGTAGCTAAACTTAACGTAAACCATGCACACATAGAAAAGGCACACGCAGCAACATGTTAAAAGGCTGTTGAATCCAGGAGTAGGGTATTCATTGTACTTTCAACTTTTTTGTATATTTCAAAACATTTGTGATAAAACATTCGAAGAAAATGCTTGTAATAAAGTTGGAAACACAATGAAACAAAACTTTGTCCATATGAAGCAGAGTCGCAGGACGGCGGGCTCAGCGCGCAGCCTGCCTTTGCTCTGACCCCCGCAGCCGCCCCGGGTCACCCTCGGTCTGCAGAAGCGCCCTCTGCCCTCAGGTCGCCTTTTCTCTCTTCCTTCCCTCTTACCTGTTCTCACCCTTCCTGTCCTCTTAGGTCTTCCCCCATCAGGATGGAGAAACCGTACCACAGCGACTCAAAGTTGTGAGTTTGTTAAGGAATTGTATTTAAACCAAAACTCATTATTTCTAACGACTATTGTTTTAACAACATGCGACAAGGAAAGGCCTTTTCTCCTATGACAAGAATGTTAGGAACCAGCTGAGGGCAGGCTGTACTTGGGCAGATGGGAGTTCCCTGGGCTCAGAGGGCGCACCTGACTTAGACCTTTGCTGCTAGGCTGGGCCTGGGGCGGGTGCCCGGGTCCATCAGCCAGTGTCCTTACCCAGAGGCCCTGCTCCCCGAGGTTCGGCTCACACAGTCCGACCTGAACAGCTGGCCTCGCCTTCCCTCTCGGCATTGCTGGTCTGAGCAGAAGCTTGATCCCATCTCCACGTGTGTTCTCTCCTAAGCCCGTCTGTGTTTTCTGGCATATTCGACACTGTTTAGTCCGCACTGAATCCTTTGAACATGTGGTGAGAGGCCCACGTCCTGGTGAGTGCCTGTCTCTGCCTCCCCACGCGGGCTGAGGCTACACTGCCTAGTTCAGCTATGGAATTCCTTATTCTTAGGCAAGGCATTAGCCCGGCCTGACGTGGCTCAGCGGTTGAGCGTCAACATGGGATCCAGGCGATCGGGGTTCGATTCCCGGTCAGGGCACATGCCCGGGTTGCGGGCTTGATCAAGACTCTCTTAGGACAGGCATTAATATATATTATTTTAATTTTATAATGCTATGACATTTTTGTTGCTTTTTATAAAAAACATTTTAGAAAGCTTCTAGATAAGGCACACGTAAATATTTGACTCTCTTACTTTTCGGCTTGCATAAATAATGAATTTATATATATACAAATATAAACATTTAAAAATTTACATATGTGTATGAGATGTAGGAAGTTGGTGTGATAATGCATATTATATGTATACAATTATGAACTATTTACCTTTGAATATTTGTGCAGCAGCATGTGTAATTATACTTTATGTGTAATTATATTTTATGTATTTGCATTTTGATTTTTATTAATAATTCAGCCAGGTCCTCTAATTCCTTGTAGTGATAGCAGAATGAGCCTGGTGACTTGGTGTAATAGTGACCCCTACTGGTGAATATTCATTTTTTAAAAAGCAAAGTCTATATATTTAGTTTCTTACTATATTTTTTTATTTGTTTCTGGTGAATACCATATTCCCTTTCTGTAAGCAAAATGGAGGTATCTTTTCATTTATGTTTTTAATCATTTCAAAATAGTCTTAGTATAAAGACATTTTTTACAAAAGATAACTAAACTAGGGTGTGAGTACCTTAAAAGAGGCTAATTTGCATGGAGCATTTTAGTTGATTCATTAACTGATTTTGCAGTAATGAAAATTGTTCAACACTCATGCCTTATTTCTGCTAACCATTTAAAATTTAGCCATTACTCTAATGATGTAATTAAAGACCTCTTAGTGATGCAAATGTTTCTATAAATAAAAATCATACATAAGGCTGAGTTTTGCAGAAACTCTGAATTAGAATGGTGTTTAATAACCTCTGCATTTTGAAAAAGGACTACACCAATATTCACACGTCACCAGCGGAGTATTTATTGTCTTTCTAAAATCACTATTGACAGAACTCAGGCCTCTCCAGTTCTCATTGTTAAACCCTTTGTCAGTCCCAACACTGTTGCATGAGAGGGAGGTGTTAGCAGTGAGCAAACCATTCTTTTAAGGCAGTTATGTGTCTGTTTAAAAGCCTGGCTCATCTGGTGTTTTTCCAACCAACCCACTTATCGTTTATAAATTAAAATTATGTACTGAAGATAGTTTTGAGATGTTAAGTGTAACACTAAAAAATATTGAGGGTGCACATGATACATAATTATAGCATCGGATCACTGTTAGGAGGTAGGGCTCTGGGAGGTGGGCCGCCCTGGAATTCCCGGAGGGAGGCTCATTTCCAGACCAGGGGGTGGGGAAGGTTTTAGTTTCTGTGCTTCAAATCAAAGAGGCACCAATCAGAAGGGAAAAGTGAGTATGATGTTGCACAGTTCATGTTAGCATTTAATTTCAAGAAATAGATATTTTAGTGCTGTAATTCCATATTAATTTTATGTTAATCTATAAATCCACATTTTTATCATAAAATGACAAATACATAGGGTTAACCCTCTGAACTCACTTTCTTGAAGTATAATACTAGTTAGTACTTGTTAATGGTTATTATATCAGAAACATAATTTTAGTTAAATACAGTAGCACCTACTGCTTTAAAACATAGAGAAAGGGTTTTTACTACGTTAAAAAACTGGATACGGAGTAGGAGAGTGTAGACTCTGAAATCAGACTTACTAGCTCGAGGGCTTTGCGTACATCACTGAACCTCTGGAAGCCTCAGTTTCTCCATCTGTGAAATGGAGACCCTTTTTACAGATAGCAGGACTGTAGTCAGCCGTAAGCGAGATAATGCACATACACGCTTCAGAGCATTCCTGGCATGTGGTAGGTTCTCTGCATTGGCTCTTATTTCTGTCTCTCTGGTGTGTTTTTCCGTCTTTGGCTTACGCAGCCTGCAGTGAGTCCCATTGCTTCTAAAGCACAGAAGCTTCTCAGTGTTTCCGAGCTCCGTGTCCCTCACTGTCCCCCCGAAGACGTTCTCACATACGTTACCATGATGTCCACTGTGCAAAAGGCCTTGGACGTCTGAGTTAGCCCAGGTCCTCCAAGAAGCAGATGCCAAGGCTGGATTAATATGCAAGACGTGTATGAGGGGAAACCCCTGGGGGAAGCAAGGGGGAAGGAGCTGGGGAGGCCAGGGGAGCCCTAGAGCCGCACAGGGCTGACCCAGGGGGACGGCTGCAGCAGCGTCTCTGGAAGTGCCTCAGACGGCGGGAGGAGTTTGGAGGGGCTGCTGGGAGGCCCTCCCCAGCCTCCGTCCCAACAATCCCAGCTGCGGCCAGTCTGTCCCTCGAGGCGCTGGCCGGCGTGGCCTGTTCAGGGCCGCTCCCTGCAGCTGGAGCCGAGGGTGGTCTCCAGGGCCCCGCAGCCTTCCTGTTGCTCCGGGCGCAGATCCTACTCCTGGCTCCCACTTTCAGAAAAGCCCGCTGCTGTCTTAGCCCGAGGCCTTCAGCCCGAAACCATCACTGTCTTCCTGCCAACCTGTAGTTATTTGATGTTTTCCAAATACACCAAAAACTCTTCATTTCAGCAGCATGGTTTATCCCATTTTTCCAGCCTGGAAGACGCTCTCCCCCTTCGTTCCCCATGTCCTCAGGTCACCCGCCTTTCACGCATTTCCCCACGTCACCTTGCCCCCATCCCACCCACTGAGGGGCGCCCTGCTCTCCTCCGCCCCTGCACTGTGGCTTTGTTACCAGTCGCATCAGTTAGGATGAGGCCCGACTGCACCGTAAAAAACAAAGTAAAAATAGCTTGAGCAAGAATGCAGGTGGTTGCGCTCTCTGGAAAAGCCTGGAGCTGGGCGGCTCAGTGGCTTGCAGAGGCCTCTGGACCCGGCACCAGGGTGTGGCCCATCCCCTCGGGGTCAGGGATGCGGCTCCAGCCTCAGGTGCGTGGGTGAGAGGGTGTGGGGGACAGTGCAGGGTGGGCAGAGAAATGTGTCAGCTGCCTCTCAGCACAGGCTTCCAGAAGCAGCAGCTTTTCTCTTTTGTCCTGTTGAATTGGACTTACTTGCATGGTGACACCCAGCCACAGGTGGCTGAGCCCCGAGTCGCGTCTGTGTTCTGGAGCCAGATATGCAGGTGAAGGGAAGGGCTGCGGAGGGCCCGGACCCTGCCCAAGGGTGTGTGCAGCTACCCATCAGCTACCCTGTGCCATAGCCTCTGCTGGGCTGTCAGCTGTGTCACACCCACACGCCCCCGTGAGCTGGGATCCACGTGACGCTGGCGGGCCCTCTCAGGCATCGGGCGCTCAGTTTGTACTTACCAAGCGGGAGAACCAAGACTTTATCAGCATTTCTCAGAGTAAGATAGAAAATGGTATCTCGTAGCTCAGTAAATCTAACACTCACTTTTCACTAACTTAGCCATTAGGAAAACAGAGATTTCAAGGAATTTTAAAAAACTAGGTTTCCATTGATTTAAAGTAATTTTAGTGTTTCTGCCTCTCAATGTTAGTGCCTCGAAGTCTGATTTTACCCTTCCTGGCGAGGCACGCAACTACTTGGGGCTTCATCCGGCTCCCACTGTTAGCACGGTGCTGATAAGAGTAATACAAGCCATTAATATTGCTATTACCACTCCTTCTCTGGGGGCCTCTCTCCCGGTGACGCCCCTGCACTCTTCGTATCTTTACTGAAGCTTATTTCCTTTCCTGAGGCTTCTGCTATCTGTGGAATGCTTGTAGTTTTAAAATTTGTTTTATGAACCTAAATCCTGCACTTCCCTCCTAAGCTCTCCTTGGGATCCCACCCAGATTAGATGTCTGGGATGGGAGCCCAGCGCGGCCTTGGGGACTCCTCCCTCCCCTTCACGCACACATAATACCGGACACGTGGCCGGTACCCGACGCACTTAAACTAAAATTGCACTTACGCTAAAATGCAGAGAAAAGGAAGGAAAGACTGAAGATCTTGGCCGGAATGAGGCCAGACTGCAGGGTCTATGTGGAGTCACTGGTGCTCGCGAGCACCGTTGGAAACCGCTGTGGAGGAAGCAGTCTCGGCGCAGGGACAGGAGACAGGAAAAGTACTGGGGACGCTGAGCACAAGCGGACATTTCTTCCTGAGGCTCTATTTTATTTTGAAGTATCTCCCGCTATCAGGCTTCCTATTTCTTCAGTTAGTGATTTTATAGTTACGATGGGCATATCCTTCCACAGGAGTAAATGTCCATAGCTGACCCTCCTTGCCCAGGTCACCCCATCAGCCTGGGACGTGGGAAGTTTCCTGATGGAAAAACACCCTCAGCACTGGCCCTGGGCTTGCGCACCCTCTGACATTAGAATACTCTTTTGTGTTGATCAAGAAACTGGAAGGAAACTGGGAGAAATATTTCTCGGTTTAAGAGAATTTTTTTAAGAAGATAAATTTTTAATTTAGAAGGTGTCATAAAAGATCTCACAGGAAGAAGAGATGAGAGCTTGCTTAATAAAGCTCACGTAGGCTGCCCGACTTTCCCGTTTTGAAGTGTGGGAGAGGTTACTGGGATGGATACGCAGAGTAAATAACTGAGGAAGTAAAACAGGCGAGGCCTTCATCATTCTATAATCTGATGAAAAATCAGACATGGGAGGAAATCCAGATGGATTTTACATTAAACAGCACAAAAATCAACATGCCCACTAACGATGGCAATAAGATTATTGATGACATTTAAAAACTTGTTTTAGATAGTTGAAAAATGGTGGGTCTGTGTCTTTTCAAAGCATTTCAATTATAATAACTACCGAAGTTGTAGATCACCAGATACATCTAAAGCTGCATTTTCAAAGTAAGATATATGTTTTGCCCCATAATTTAAGACTAGTGTGTCTCTTATAATCATTCATCTAAATAAATGATTTATTTAGATAAATAAATCTCTCTGCTCTGCCCAGAGAGAACTCACAAGCATTATTTCCACAGGGAGCGTGACGCAAACAGAATCAATTACATGTACGCTCAGTATGTCAAAAACACCATGGAGGCGCTCAACATCCCAGACGTCAGTAAGGACAAGAGGTTCCCCTGGACGGTAAGTGGCCCAGCCCTGGACGGGGAGTGGGAAGGCGCTTTCCCGCCAGATCTGCGCCCGCGGTGACTCCTCACTGGCGGGCCAGGCCTGGAGCTGACTCTAGGACCGACGTGCGCTTCCCCTGATGTGCTCACGGGGAGTGAAATCGCTCTGAACGTTGGTCGAAATACTCAGCGATACTTGAGTATTTTTCTGTGTGCTTTTATCAGTTTTTTAAACATGTCCTGATGAATTGTCCTAAACGACTTGTGAGATGATGGGCGTCAATGGTGCTCCTTAGCAAGGATTGCTAGAGTTCTTGAGCTTATCCCCAAAGCTAAGTTTTACGTGGCTTGAAGGTACGTGCTTGGTGACCACCGCCCGGGGCAGCCCTGCGGAGAACCGTCTGTTCTTCACAGCGAGGCTACGAAGGCCAGTTTCTCAGCCGCTGGAAACCGGATTCTGGCATTTTCTCTCATTTTATTTCAGAAAAGCATTGCTCGCTGTCGGCTGTCTTGGGGTGGTTATGTCCTGTCTAGGGGACCTCTCGGAAGGCAGCAGTGTGGGCAGCAGAGACGGTGGCAGTGCCCCCACAGGGGCCAGTGCCGCGCGGGGTGCCCCGGCCGGTGGGGGTGACGCTTCTGGCTTGGGCTCCTCCCCTTACGCTGCCTGAGGCGCCCCCTGCAGGGAGAGTGCGTGCAGGTACTGCAAGCTGTGGGAATGCTTAAACGGAGAGAAAAGAAGTCTAGGATATTCATTATTTTTAATAATATAAAGACGAATTGCTTTATATTGCGTTTATGTGAGTGTCGTTGCAATGTGTACATTTCCTGCACTCTATCACCCCAGCCAATAAAAGGTGACTGTATTAGTGGTTTCAGATGTCCAATGTGGTTTACGTAACAGCATCTAACGGGCAAATGAGTCTTTTCGTAATTTTTCGCTGGTTTTTGTTTGTTTTTGTTCAGAGTGAAAACACGGGGAACGTAAACCAGCAGGGCATTAAAAGTCTGCTTTGTACGCCTATAAAAAACGGAAAGAAGAATAAAGTGATAGGTAAGCCTTTTCCTTAACCCCCATGCTGCCCTTGCTACAGAAAAAGTAACACTCCCGGAAACTTCTCTTCCAAGTATAAATTTAAAAAATAAAATGTGTAAAAAATAAAAATTGAACTGATAAAAGAAATGTTCAGATAACCACAGACATTTGTCACCGATCTGATTAACGATGCTGTATTTTTGTGATTATTTTAATCCTATTTTAACGGAATTTTTGTTTAAAGGTCTCATGTTGAGAGGTAGACTGAGACACATGAAGCTGATAATGTGAATTGTTTTGGGGTCTCACTTCTGGTTTCTGATTTTTCTTTTTTGACTGTGTGGTTTAGATTGTAGGTTGTACCCATTCATTCCTTGGAAGTATTTAGCGACCACTGTATTGCTCTAGGCACTTGGGGTAAATCAGTCAACAAGTGAGCAAAAAAATTAAAAAATGCTGATCGAAACAGCCAGACTTCTCTTGGCACACGTTTTGTGTCCCCCTACTTGAGAAGAGAGCCCAAAGTAAGCAGACGCTGTTTTTGGAGAGGAAAATTCCATGTAAGTAAAAAGGAAGAAAAATATGACTCCCCGAGTGGAGTTTTAGGGGGGGCTCAAGCTGATTTTGATTCCAAGTAGGAGAAGGAAATTTCCAGTGTTCCTGCTGCTTTATAAGTGTGACAAGATGAAGAATTCGAATTCTCAGCCAGACTTTGCACCCCAGATGCAGCATGGAAAGTATCATGGCTGTGGGTAATTTTTCTTACGCGTCAGACCAGATTCTGCTGTTACGCAAATCTCATAGAGCCCCCTGCGGAGCCGCACGCAGAAGCACAGATGGATGGGCCCATGTGTTTTTGGTCACCTTCCTTCCCCCTCATCTTTTTCCATTACTGAGGTTTAGATGAAATTATAGGCATTAGACGGGTGTGGGGCCTGTTGTATCGTCAGAGGTGCCCCTGAGGTTTTGTTTCCTAGCACGTCTCCTTAGTGCTCTGGCTGAGACAGTGTTTCCACCCCTTTGCTTCCAACTCTATTAAGGAAACACTTTCCTCATTCGACATTTATATATTTAACCAACTATCCCCCCTATTTATTAGGCTAAATATGCCTTTTCCCCATATTGTATTTACCAGAAATCCTTATGCCTGTTGTTCATACCAACTTCAGGGCATATTTTGAAGGAATTAGTCCCATTCCCATATAAGAAATAAAAAAGTTTAGCCCATCTCCACTGTGCATAACTTAGGTTTCCATGTCTTCGTCAGTGAAAAGTATGATAGAAAATCTAGTGCTCTGCCACCCCCGCCTGCCGGGCTCTGGGCAGTGTTTCCCACTGAACGGGACGCCAGGTGCATCTCTCTCCCCCGTCTGCTCCTTCCTTTGTTGCAGTTTGACCCCAAAGCACAAACGCATATTCTAGAATTACGTAAGTTTCAGTTAGACCCCATGTAGCATTTGGCTCTATTCGGTGGTTTACAGACGCTTGCTAGGATTTTCCTAACGCAGGTGGGACCGGACTGTGCGGTGGCCTCACGGGGCACATTGGTCAGAGTGCTCACAGCACCCAGTTTTCCCCAGTTAGAGAACCAAAAATTATGCTTAGTTACAATAACCACCTGGAAATAGGCAGTAATGGTTGGAATAAAATGGGAAAAAATAAAACTAAGACATTATAGCTTAAAATTATCAAAGTGTAGAAACAGATACGGATATTATCGTTTCAAGCACCGACCGAAGAGAGAAATGAGGCAGCCCCAGGAAGCAGGGACGCTGGCCTTCACGGGCCAGGGACAGCAGCTCCTCAGAGACACGAATGCATGCCACTTGTGAGAACACATTTTACACAACACAGGCAAAGCCTGAGAGTAAGGTAGAGATGATAATATCAGACAAAATGGAATTTAAGGTAAAACCATAATGTAAAGGGTCACTTTGCTTTGATTATGTTTAAAATCCACAGGGGAAACTGTGATTGTCACAAATGCTTCTGATAAACTAAATAACATCATTGACGTGCAAAAGCCAAAGCTGTTAAGATACAGGAGAACTGGACAAGGGTGGTCCATACAGTGTCGAAGTACAGGGAAGACATGGGAACATTAGCGTTGGTTAATACAAAAATGAAATGGAATTGATGGGCATGCGCATACTTTTCTATTTCATAGTTTAAAACTACAAATTCCTGTGAAATATCCATCAGAATCTCACAAATGCTGCCGATCGTCACACGTACACGTGCACTCGGTGGCTCCCGAGAAGCCGAACTGGCGGCACTGTCCGGCTCGTGATGCACTAGGGCCGGGAGGGTGGACAAGGGGTGAGCAGGGGGACAGTCTCGCTCAGGAACTGGGCAGCGTCCTCTCAGTGACAAGGGAGAAGTCCAGAGGCCACGTGGGCTGCAGTAGCTCTGTGGTTCCAATTGCTCGCTGTCCGAAATCATTAAATGGAAAATTCCAGAAATAAACTCCTCACGCGTTCTCAGGGGGCGCCCTCCTGAGGCGCGGGACGCAGTCTCACGAGTCACACCGCCCCGAGCGGGGCGTGATCGCCCGCGCCTCAGACCCCCGCAGCCACACTCGGCCATCGTGGTTGCTGGGTCAGCTGTCCCGGGGGCACGGTGCCGTGTCCAGGTCTCCCTGAGCTTATTCAACAAGGACCCCCCGCCGTAAGCGGTGATGCTGGCGACTCAGACACGTGAGGAGCCCCCTTTCGTGTGAGTGCAGTACAAGATATTTTGAGACACAGAGAGAGAGAGAAAACATTGACATAAGTTTTATTACAGTACATTGTTAGAGTTGTCCTATTTTATTATTGTTGTTGTTAATCTCTCACTGTGCCTAATTTATAAATCACACTTCATCATAGGTGTGTATGTAGGAAAAAAACATACATATAGAGGGTTTGGTACTCTCCGTGGTCTCAGGCATCCACTCAGGGTCTTGGGGTGTGTCCCCCGTGGGTAAGGGAGCTACTACTATATGGCATTTTAGAAAATTAATAGCTGTATCGATATAACAAACACTCAAGGCACATGGTCAGAGCTATACACACAGGAGATATATAGCTTTAAATAGTTTGTTATTATTAATAAGTAATAATGAAATGATTTGAACTAAGTGGTCAACTGAAGAAATTAGAAAAATAGCATCTTTCTCACCCCCCATGCCGCCCCTCAAAATAAATAAATGGAGGAAGAAAGCAGAGGGGCAACAATGACAAGCTGTACTCGCCGCCCTCACTGTAAGTCGTGAGGCCCTCTATGTACTAAAGCGTGGGGCTTGAAGGACGCCGTGTTACCCGGAGGAAGGAGGTGACCCAGTCCTCGCGGAGACCACGAGGCTCGGACTCCCACGGAACCAGTGGCTCAGTGGAGATTCATCGTGATGTTGACGTCACCTTCCGCTCCTGTTGACGACACTTGCTAAGACAGACCAGGACCGAGGAGGTCGCGGTGTCCTTCAGAGATGAGTTCTGCTTTCACTCCTAAGCCAAGCGTCATTTTTATTTGCAGTATTGAAAGTCGCCTGCAAACGTGCTTCCCCTAGCTGCATAGGCCCCTGTTTGAGGTTTGAGAGCATCTCTGTGAATCGCCGGTGCCCTGCACCCTGTGTTTTGGGCAACTGTGGTCTTGAACTTCTGGTTCTCAGTAAGGAGAGGCAGCTTGCGTGGCCCGGAGTTCTGATGGACACCAAAATCCTTCTCTTGGCAAGTCTGCAAAAATCCAATCAGCCTCCAAAGGACAGGCTGTCTTTGGGGACTCAAGTGGCCTAAAATTCACGGGCGAGTCTGGAAGAAAATAGCTCTCCAGGATTTTTTGAACAACCCATGCTGAGTACCACGTGGAATGAGTTCTCGTGTAAATAAATTCCATTTCCTTTTCTAGCTGATACTGAACTTTGGAGGGTTCGTTTGTTTGTTTTGAGATGCCAGGCCTAAGACAGTCTGGGGGGGGGCATGTTAAAGTCAATAAAAACTATGACATTTCTGGTAACATTTGCTCCATTTCTTGGGTCATCCCAGGGGTTTGCCAGCTCGTGAACAAGTTGGAGGAGAGCACTGGCAAGGTGAAGCCTTTCAACCGGAATGACGAGCAGTTTCTGGAAGCCTTTGTGATCTTCTGTGGCCTGGGGATCCAGAACACGCAGATGTATGAAGCCGTGGAGAGGGCCATGGCCAAGCAGATGGTCACGCTGGAGGTGAGCACAGCCTGGGACCTCTCAGCGTCCATGGCTGACAAGCAGAAGATGGGAATTGAGGACGCTCACGTTCAGTTATAAATGATGGTGATAGTGACTTTCTAACCTTACTGGGGTGATGGAAAATGTTCCAGAGCAGGAGTGGCAGGAAGCTGGTCCGAGGCCCCATCCCTCCCTCGGTGTGGGTTCCCAGCCAGGTCAGCAGAGTCCCTGGGCCTGAGTGTCCTCTGCTGTCAGCGGGCAGATTCCTAGACCCCCCTACTCTGCTTAGCTCTGAACCCACGAGTGTAAAGGGCTCCCTGAATCTGTGACATGTCTACCCCAGCCATGCAGTTTTTCTGCAGATTCTCTAGCGGCTACAGGCCGCTTCCAGGCGACTTGCTTTCCAAATGTCGACATTAAAATGTCAGTTGACACAAATGTTGTTTTCCTAAATCTGTACACAAGCACAAGTGACAAAGGCGGTATTTAAAAACAAAACAAAACAAAGCAATTGAAACTAAATTTTCTGCCAAGTATGAGCCGATAGTGTGGCTTTACATAATGTGTTTGTTACATCAACAATGTCAGACCAGAGTGCGCAGTTTCCTTTGAACAAGGGGAGTATAACTTTGTTTTCTGGAACAATTGAATTGAAATCTAGGATTTTCTCTCTGCAAAGAAAGCAGAAAGCAAAGGAAGACCTGACAGCCTGCAGAGTCTATTTCTCATTCCAGGAGGTTTTAGCAGAATCCCAGGCTGAATTCGAGCCCAGGTGGGGTGACCCTGTGTAACCTGCTCCGTTTCTCCCGCAGGTCCTGTCCTATCACGCTTCGGCAGCCGAGGAAGAGACCAGAGAGCTGCAGTCCCTAGCGGTAACTCCCCTTTGCAGAAATGACTACCTGCAGACACCTCATTCCCACACAAACATGCCTTCCTCGGGGTGTCTGCTCCCACTAGTAATGGTCCCCTAGATGTTCAGTCACATATGGTAAATGTTTAGATGGATGCTCATAAAAATATTTAATCAACTCCAATTTCCTGCAGGGCTGCAAAGTCACCGATGATACAAAGATAATAACTTTTATGGACTTTGTCATATGTTATATGATTCTGGGGGGTTTTCCCCTAGTAATTGTTCTAATCTTTACATCTATCTTAGGCCAAAATTAAATTTAGTTTTCAGTTCCTGGGGAAGTGGGGCCAGGGGACTGCACAGTGGTTGTCTGGTTGGGGGAATTTGTAGTTTGTTACCGATAGCCTCCCCTGCACTATGAGGAATGGGGAGCGAGTGTAATTTCTGTGGCCTGAGGAGCACTGTTGGAGGCTGGGTTCCCGTGGGCCACTTCCCGGCTCCCCAGTCCCTTCTCATTTCGTGCCCGGAGCGAGCTCTGACCTGGAGACAGGACGCCGCGTGCTCTGGGTTTTGACCGAGGCCTTGGCTGAGATTCATGACGCTCAGAGGCACTTGCACTGCTGCAACGACGGCTGGCCCTCCGAGTTTAAGTCTGAGAGGCGCGGCTCGGGTCTGTGTGAGACGTGACGAGGGTCGAGTAAGGAATGAGAAGAGCGTGGCCAGATCACGGAGGTTCTCTGTCATTGTCATCAGCATCTCAGCCGCCAAGTGCTAGCCCTCTGAGCCCTGCCTGCATTTTCTAACGTAAACTGTACAACTGTGTCACGGAGGCCACACGTGACTGGCTGAGGGTCACCGTGGTAGGAAGTGGGAGCCAGGACACACACACACCCCGCGCTCCCCAGGGCCCTGGCACACCACCGCAGCGCTACCTGCGGGGCAGAGAGGCGGGAAATGAGCCAGGTGAAGCTGATGGTGCCGTTAGTAACCAAAGAGGGCACAGTAAGGAGGGGGACCGCCGATCTGGGTTAGAGCAGGGCACGTGCGCGGTGCTGCGGGGCCACCAGGTGGACCAGCAATAGGGAAGGACGGCGGGAGGCGGGAGGGCCGGTGGTCAGAGCCAGAGGGGGTCTGGGGCGTAGTCCTGGGACTCGGGGTCCCTCGGTTGTGGAATCATGGCAGCGGAGCAGAGGGGAGAGAATGCAGAGAGACGGGAAGACGGGGCAGAACCTTCGGGAGTGTGGGCTCAGGAGCAGGGAAGGAAAGAGCTGAGACAGACGAGATGGGTAAACAGGGAGGCGGATGGAGGACAGGGCAGAAGGCACCATGCAGAACAGGCTCCAAAAGGGGGGAGGTCCCCCGAGTTGCAGGAAGGGTGGCAAACACGAGGACTGAGGCGAGGCAGCCAGCTGTGGAGAAAGCAGCTTCAGGAGTAAAACGGCACAAGGCAAGGGGAAGCGAGAAAACGGAGGCAGTGAATATAGACTGTTTTTTAAAAACAAGTTTTGTGTGAAAGAGAGAGTGGAGGAGTAGCGATGAAGGCTGTTGGCCGAATCAAGTGAAGATTCCTGTGGTTGGTTTTGGTTTCGTTTGTGCTCGTGAGCGGGGCTTGCACCCGAGAAGAGAGCAGGACGTTCTCGGACAGAGGGAAGGAGCAGGCGGGTGAGACCACAGTGCGAGGTGGGGTGGGATCTAGACCTGGCGCGGGGCTCGGCGTTGGGCAGCCACCCCCGGCCGAGGCGCGGGGAAAGGGTGTAACCAGAAGAGCTACATTGACGGGCACTTACCACGTCCGCATCCGTGGCCTGTGTGGCGTTGGAGCGTGTTCACTGAGCGTGTTTAATCCACAGCAGGTCGGGGCTGAGTGACTAGGTTGTCCCACTCAGGGTCGGGGGGGGGGCAGCGATGAGCCCGTGGGAGTCCCGGCTGTCCCGGGCCACAGCCACAGGGATGCGCCAGAAAGGCGGCGGGGAGGCGGAGGACTTGGGTTCTCAATTAAATCACCGCGGGGCAAGCTGAGCCACTTGCCGAGGAGAGTTTCAGGAACTTGAGATGATTTTTCCCAAAAGGCTGGGCTTCTGCTGGGATGAGCCTCATCCGGAATTGGCTTTGTTTATTTTGTTTTCGATGGTATTTGAAGAAATGAGCATTTTTCCCAATGATTTACAAGGGTTTATAGGTTTAAAGAATCGTTCACATCGGGCTGGGCTGGACCCGTTGACCTCCTAGAACGCTAACGTTGGAGTAAATGCGCACTGTGAGAGCATCACAGGGAAAGATGCGTTTCTAAGTGCTCGGGGCACTGTGGGATTATTTAGTTCTAAACGAGGTCAAGGTTACACTCTGCCATGTGTTGTTTTAGATAAATAAAAACTTGCATATAGACTGATTTCTAAAGATAATGCTAAAAAATTACCAGGCTGTTTAAACTTTGCTTTTCGCTTTGGAAATAGCATAGTCTTTCAGAGAAATCTGAAAATTATCTCCTCAATTATGTTTATAATTTTAGCAAGAGAAAGCCACTTTGGCATGACTGAAAACTGCTGTGTTGCAGTATTGTCCGAAACCATCTGCTTTCCATTTGGAAAATAGATTTCTGGCAGCTGCGTTCAGAAATTTAGGGTTACATAGTTTGTAGGTCAAATTATACACTTAAATTGATTGAAATTCAGCAACCGATTCTAGTTTTCTATCAACCTAATAAAAATTCCTTTCCAGCCCCAGCTACGCAGGTGTCTGCATCGCCCAGCAATTACCAAAATCGCTGTCTTTATCATGTGTCTGATTGTTTACCCCATGAAAAGCTGTCATGTGCTTTAACTTTTATTTTTAAGCATTAGTTCCCTAAGAGAATTAGTGAACTTAATTGTGCTATTTATGCCTATGCCCAGAAAGTTCTCTAGTTATACAAAAGTAATTTTGTTGATAGGAAATTCAGAATCCTTATATTTTTTTCCCCATGCTTTCCTTGATTTTTTTTTTTACTGAGCTTCCTATTTTTAATCTAATCATCTCTTGGCTTAAAATTGGGTGTAGCACAAATAGGGCCTTAAGCTAAGCATTTTGCCAAGTACGTTTAAAAATCCTTAGTCACGAGTTTTTGAGATAAAAATAAAAGGAACCCAGCTGACCTGGTTATGGTCCTTAGAAAGTTATCAGAATGTAATAAATGCCTGTCTGTTATAGGTAGCTGAATATCTGGCAGCTTGGCTGATTGCCTTTCCCGAGGACAGCCTGGGCCCTCGGGCTTCCTGTCGGGCATCGGGCATCCATTGGTAGATGTCCACGCGTGAACTGCCTGAGTCTAGTTCATGGCGATAAGGCAGCGGGTTCTGTTTAATCCTTCCTGACGAGCTAATCTTACCTGTTTTGCGATGATTTTGCTAGTGGGTTATTTCCACTGGTGTTCTTAGCTCTGAAATATCGGGCTCCGCTCTGGAACTTCTTAGGGACTTAGAAGTCACCCAGATCTGCGTGTGCTCTTCCCAAGCACAGTCACACACTCGCCCTTAAGTTTCACTTAGAAGCATAGACGTATTTCAACCTAATCTCAACCTTGTTAATCACATGCCCTCTTTATGTGGTTTTGAAAAACTGTACACTTATCCAAATTTTTATAGTCTGTTCCTCTTCCATGTTGAGACATAAAGGAATCCACTTGTATACTGTTAGGAAGAAGGAAAATCATGAAGCGTGTGGCTACAGGTGTTACCCGGCCCTGCTGTGCTCTGGTCACTTTATTTCCCATGAGGCCAGTACTGCGTGGAGTTGACGTTCCCCCTTTTGTGTAAGCAGATTTCTCTCTCATTCGCATGTGGATTCACTTCTCTCTTAGACAAAGTCAAGTGCTAACAGCCTTGTAAACTGGGTACATTTTTTCCTTTAAAAACGTGTCCTGTGCATGTTGAAAATGGGAGGAGAGACATCAGCCTCCTGTAAACTGTAAGCGATGGCTGTCGGGTGGCTTCGCGGCTTCTCCAGCGGCTACAGGCCTTGTCTGAGAGCCACTTCTACACGACTTGCTTTCCAAACATCGACATTAAAATGTCAGTTTATGCAAAGGTTGTTTTCCTAATTCCGTACACAAGCACAAATAACTAAAGCCAGTATTTTAAAAAACAATTGAAATTAAACTTTATGTGAAGTTTGAGCCAATAGTGTGGCTTTAAATAATGTGTTACATCAACAATGTCAGACCAAAGTGAGCAGTTTCCTTTGAATATGGGGAGTAGAACTATGTTCACATTAAGCATTGAAGTGTCTCGGCATGTTTTCTGGAGATCCCAGCAGGTGCAGGGAGGAGCAGTGCTGGGTGAGAGGATCTGGGAGTTTTGAGTTGGATCTTCCTTCTTTAGACGTGTACAGCACCTTATTGCTTCACAGAATCTTTAAAATAGGGCATTTCTGCTCTTCAACACCACAGTACTGTAGTTACATTACCCCCTGACGGAAAACAAAGGTGGGAATCTCACTAGGCAACGTCTGACCCATCAAGCCATCGATAAAAGAAGCTGTGCAAACTCAGAATTGTGTGCATAACCTGCCCCAGAAAGAGCACAGACTGGATTCCCGCTATTATTAAAAAGCAGAGTGTTTTGTTTCATAAACTGGAATTTAAAATCACCTTCCCAAGCCATTCAGGGCAGACAGAAAGCCGAGGCCCCTGGTGGTGGTCAGAGAGCTTTACTGACACGTGACTTCCTCGTGGCCCGTTAGGGGTCCCAGGAATTCCGAACCTCTGTATCACCGACCACGGGCTCTGCACGGACGCGTCTGCTGTCCCATGAGGTCAGCTCAGGAGGGTGGCCATGTGGCTGGCCCAGCAGCAGAGGGGAGAAGCTCACTCTGAGGAGAGCAAGGCTGGGGCCAGTGTCCGTGGAGAGGGCCCCAGCCGTGCGGGCCTCTGTCCTGTAGCATTTCGAGTCTCCTTTGTGGAGGAGAGAAGGGGACTTCCTGCTGCGTGAATAAGGATGCCGGGCGGGAAAGCACGTGCCCTCCGTGAGTGCGGGCGTGGAGGGACAGCTGTCCTGCGAGCTGAAGGTGGCTGTCCCGCCGCCTCACTCGGAGCTCTGACCGCGCTGCTCTGATGGGGGCGGCACNCGCCCTGCTCTGATGGGGGCGGCACAGAGGGGAGCCCTGATGCGAACCCCCAGGCCCTCTCCCGCCGCAGCCCTCGCCGGGCCCCTGGGGCTGACCTCACAGCGCGTGTTTCTCGGAAGTTGGGCTCGGGGGTGGAGTCGAGCTTGGAGCGGGGAGCGGGTGTCGTTCGTGTGAGGTTTAAGCACATCTGGTGTGTGTCAGATGCGAAGGTCAGGGTGAGCGGGAGAAGGTGCGAGGGTCCTCGCTGGAAGGGAACGCTCTGGGTTACTCCGTAGGATTTTATTACTTGACCTTTTTACTTTACAAAAGATGGAGGTAACAAGGAATAGTGATACCCCAGATAGTCACGGGAAC